CAACTTAAACGCAAGCATTCGCATCTACAAGACGCCACACGCCTTTGTGACTTTATACCATCCTCAAAACAGACTTGACTGTTCAAAATGCTCTCCCTCGCCACTCGCACCGTTGCTCGTCGCGTCTCTGCTCAGCAAGCGCGCACCATCACCACGGCAGCTGCCAAGGCATCGACGACTGCGCAACAAGCCGCACCCACAAACTCAGCCAGCATCACCACTCAGGCTGCATCGATTGCGCAGCCAGCACCCGTTGCCGCAACCCGCAACTACGCCGGCAAGGTCACCATGCCGACAAGGTGAGCATAATAATTCGCCTCGCCTGCCCTTTTCTCCGATGAATGTCGACTTCAGCATTCGAAGCGACTCGCTGACCCCAATTCCTTGCTCCTTTTTTCTCCATTGCTACCCATGTCTAGACAATTCTCAACTCCAGCTTCCGAGTCGATGCCCGGTCTCAGCCAATCAGACGCTCGCCCTTCCAAGTTGGCAGCACAGCGCATGGCAGATGCCAAGGCACTCGCTGGCTTCTAGGCCCGGGACCCGGACTTGTCATCGTCTGCACTGCAAATATAAGCTTTGACTTCGTCGCAGCATGCAGTGGCACCTCTTTGGGCACCGCGAGAGCCCTCGAATACATCTCTACCTTCGCTCGGCCAGACTTGCCGCTTCGAAATCACACCACGACCGTCCCCCTCGACTCTGGACCCCTATCGTCCACCGGCATCAATTTTGCTATGCGCCACTTTCGCTTCACCCTCTTGTATGACTTGACCATTGATCGACTCTTCTCTCCACCCGCGACGTTCTTATACAACTGCTACACGTGTACTCAAATGGCATGCTGCTCCTCCACTTGCATCTTCATGAGACTAGACCGGCGACTGCCATGGCGTCACATGCTGTGTGCGTGGCTGCGAACGTGACACTTGATTTCGTTGAAGGATGCGTTTGGACTTTGTGTGTGTTTGAACATGCAAGGTTGGGTGGTCGTGCAAAGGTGGGCAGAAGATGGATGTGGATGGCAAATGCCCCAAAATTGGAATGTGCGTAAGCTCGTAAATTGTTGAATGGCTTCATCGCTCTCGAATCCCTTCGAGAAGTCGCTCTAGTTCCTCAACAACTCCAAGCATATTCGGACGATTGCGCGGGTTCGCGTCCCACATTCGATCCAAGAGATTGACAATGCCTTCTCCATGTCGCTTGCGTATGGATGCCGTCTTGGGACTGCAAGTGCGAGAGAGCGACTTTGCGTCAGCCGTTGCCTCTGCACACCTCCGCAACGCGAAGGGCGGAGGTGCACTCACCGAACGCGTTTTGGCCCTCCAACCTCGAGGTAGATCTGATGCTCGTTCATGCCTTCGAATGGATACTTCTTGACCTTCTCGTGCCACTGCAAAGTCTCCCAGAAGGTCATTGCGACGCTCCACACATCCACCTTCTCGTTGTAATTTGGCTTTGGCACCCAGAGCTCGGCGGCCTGCCAGTTGACGGTGCCAACGAGAGAGCGCATCATCGACCGCCGTGTGTTCTTGACGCGAGCTAGACCAAAGTCATTGATTTTGACCACCTTCTTGCTGGTGACTAGTATGTTGGTCGATTTGATGTCGCGGTGTATGATGGCGGGATCGCGACTATGCAGATACTCGATGCCCTTGGCAGTCTCCAGCATGATGCGAAACTGAAAGTGAACGATGTCAGTTCATGCGAGCTAAGACGAAGCGGTCACTCAAGGTACTCACAATCTCTTCTGCAGGCGGCGGTTCGACATTGCGGACGTAGTCGAACAGATCGCCGTTGGTGCAAATTTCAGATACGATCATGCAGGGAACATGCCGCGGGGGCTCCGGTATGGAGACGCCAATGAAGCGGACGATGTTCTCATGCTTGAGGTCGCGAAGCAGGCTGAGCTCCTTTATGTCCATCTCGGTGAGATCGTCCCGGATGTCAGCAATCGCAACCTTCATGGCTCGGCCTCGATTAGTGGCGGATGCCGTTGCAGACGGCCTGTAATTGCCGATGTAGACATCCTTGTAACCCCCAGAGCCGATTTTGTCCAGCTTCTCGAGCTTGAAAGGAGCTATCTCCTTGTCCGTCAGATTCAGCATCTCGAGGTCGAGCCCGTTCAGCTCATCGACGGCTTCTGCTGGCTGCGCATCCTGGTGGTCTTCGTCGAGGACAGGGCTGGGCGGGCGAGAGTTGGGCTCCTTGGACGTGGATCGCAGCAACAAGGGTGTATGACTAGCACTCTTTTTGCGGCTAGGCGCCCCTACGACGACGGCGCGGACTTTTGCGGCTTGTCGCCCGCCTGCACGGACCTTTGTGGCTGCTGCTGGGGGAACATCTTCATCTTGGCTGTCGTCAGGCTTCACTGTGGAGATCGAACTGCTTGAGCGAGGCGCAGCCTCGTCTGACAAAGAGCCAGCTTCGTCCCTGAGCTGCTTCTTGAACTGTGACCAATGGTGTGGTGCATTCAGCATATTGCTCGTCTTCACGAAGATGCTCGCACTCACCCATTGGAGCAGACGATCGACGAGGATGGCCTTCTTGGCTTGAGAAGGGATGTCCCTCTCCTCGCACAGAGCCGACAGACGCGCAAGTCGCAGGCGGCTCAGCTTTGCGGAGGTGGGGTCGGCCATCATGTCGTCTTCCTCTTCTTCAGCTTCGTCTTCAGAGCCAGGCGCGTCCTCGTGGTGCTCGTGGCCCGAGCCAGCACTGTGGCTCGATCGCAAGCTCTCCAATCCGGCTTCATCGTCGGACTCGGTCGCTGGCGAGGAGATCTCGCCTCTGGACCTTTGCAGTCGGAGCTGCTTGCCGTTGCGAAGCTTGCGCATCTTCGTTGGGCTGGAGCAGATGGCCATCTCCTCGTCAGATACTCGGGCAACCGTGTCCAGAGTGGCCGCGTCAGTGTCTCGTGCACCTTTGCTGCGCGATGTGCGCCTGCGTGTGTCTTTGCTATCACTCTGCGCCCGGGCTGAGATGCGAGGTGGGGCCATGGCGCGCTGGGAGCGGCTAGCTTCACGAGCCGCAATCAAGGAGGAGCGGATGTCTTGCTGCCGCGATTTGTTGAGCGTCGCCGATGCTCTTCGAGTGATTGGCAATGCTGGGCTATCCGCGTCGACGTTCATCGAATCGTCTTCTGCCTGATCGAGATCCTCGTCCTCCTCGATCACGAAGGTGCTGTCCCCAGCCGGATCGGCCTCGTCGAAACTTTCGGACGAGTACTCGTCTTGCGAATCCTCCATGTCCTCATCGTCGGTCAACCTCTGGCCGTGAGAGTCCTCCTCGTTTTCATCGGACGCATTTGACAATGCGCCCGCACCATCTCCATCACCTTGAGCGCGCCTACGACTGGGTCGTAGATCATTGGCAGAAAATGCGACTCTTTTGTTCCTTTTCCTCCTTCCTGGTGCAGTGCGAGCCAAGCGTGGGCTTGGGCCTTGTGCAAGACGACTTGGCTGAAAGGACTTACGAGAGCCGCAGCTAGTCCTTGCCCGTGCCCGTGTCCTCACCGGGCTCGATTTGGCAAATGTTGCGGGACTATTGTTGGCCATGCGGACGCGACGCACCGCAGGCGACACGGCTGAGGTCCCTTTGGATTTGCAGAGCTCCTTACCGCCCCGAACAGATCGCCCTGTCTGATGTGTTGCGGAAGTCTCCTTATCTTCCGCGTTTGAAGAAGTGTCGGTGTATTCTGAGGACACGCTGTGGGGCGCTTTGCGACTGCTTGAAGCGCGCCGAGACTCGCGAGATTCAGCACGCGACCTCTGCGAAGCGACCAAACATCCCAAGGCGCTCTGGTCAGTCTGGCACTGCGTATACGCTTGATGTAGCGAGACGAGCGGGAACATACCGCAGCTATGATCGAAAGGCCCAAGTCTCTCTTTGTGACGGCCCAAGGATCCCCACCGATGTCTTCATTGATGCGGCTCAAGTGTGTTAGACGAAGCCGCATAAGCTGGGCGAACGTCGCTGTTTGGCGGAAGGATACCTCTGCGAATGCAAGACGTCTTTAGCGACAGCCAGAGGGCTTGAGTACCCACTGCGCAAGGGGACTTACCATTACCCTCGGTGTACTGATGTTCCTCGGTCTCGTCTTCTTCAAAATCATCGTCGCTCTGCGCTCCAGGAGCGTGCCCATGGTCCTCTCCGGAGGCCTCGTGGTCTGATGAAGCAGGACGCTGGTTCCAGGATGCTTTCCTTATTGGCAAAGTCCTGCGACCGGTAGGGCTGCTGGCGCTCCGTCGCATTGGTCTCCTTCCAGAATCCTGACTGCCGTCACTAAGCTCCAGGCGTGTCATGGTGTTGCGCAAGCTGCTGGTGGAGCCGTGGGAGACGGCGACAGGTCGTTGATCTTTGTTGCCTGTCGCTGCAGGAAGGGCAGTCTCGCCTCGCGTCCGGCTTTTGCTTCTGCGTGAGTACCCTGAAGGTGTTTTGGAGGTCGATGGTTGGGGTGAGGATCGCATCTCGGCCGCTACCAGATTGGTTCGCGACCCTAGACCTCCTCCACTGCCTCCTCCGCGCTTTCGCTTTAAGCCCGCTCTCGCAGCTCGCGCTTTCTCTCCTTCTTCGATTTGCATCTTGCGCAAGCTGTGGCCGGACGCTCCTCCGCCTGCCGCAACTTTCCGCTGATGAGGCGAGCTGGCTGGGGAGGATTGAGCTGAGCCCGACGATCGGTGTGACAAGGATGGAGAGAAGTCTGGATCCTGATTTTGATTGTCTCTATAAGTGGAGGCGTTGTCAATGCGCCGTAGAGAGGCGGCCTGCGTGGCGCTCGAGGTACTCCGATCTTGGCGTTGTCGTCGTCTGGGTGTGTTGGCGACGATTGGCTCAAGAACTGGCCTGCGGGCGTGACTCATGCTACAGCGCGTTTCTGAGGGCGAGCACAGCTGCGAAGGATGTACCTTCTACAGCCAAAGCTCCAACGCCGGCGCGATTGTGCGACAGGACGGTCGTCACAGTGCCATGAGGGATGTGCGGCTTGAGGTCCAACACCTTCTAGCGAATCACGACTCGCCGCTCCTAGGATGCTGAGTTGCGAAGAGTCGCGCGGCAAGTGGCGTACGGCCCGAATGTTATGAGTTGTGTGAAGAGACCAATCGCGAATTGCGAGTCTGCTAGATCGAGGTCTGTGGCAGACAAGTTGGATGCAGAGCGCTGAGCGAACGCAGACGTCACACGCTCGATCTTGCCGATTCTCATGATCAGCAAGCAAGCCGTCACCAGTCTGAACTCAAGTCATCAATCAGAGAGTCAGAGGACAGAGCGTCCACTCGCGACACATCAAGCGCTGCCGAAATCCACGCCGCGCAGGGTGCACCGGCCCGAACAACAAACGCGATGCGCGTCAGCAAGTCGAAAGGTCAATCTTAAGAAGGTACCGCATACAAATAAATAACTTTGGTGCTTGACACGGTTTCAATCTGTTCATCGTGGTAAAGCGGCGCGTCGATGCGAAAGCAAATCAAACTCAAAACATCACCTCTTGGGTTGAATTGGAGTGAGAAATGACTCGTCGTGGCGCGTCCATTGGCGCGTAAGCGACGCGCTCAGACGCGAAAGTCACGCGCCTGCTGCATGCGTACAGTACATGCGTACAGTGCAGCAGGCTACGGAGAAGTCAAAGTCCACCGCGCAGCAGCTGTTGCTCTTGCAGGACGTACCATGCAGCGCCAGCATACGGCAATGATGTATGGGATGCTCACGTCACGAATTTGAATCTGAATCAAGAATGTGAAGCAAGCGCCACAAAGTCAAGATCTTGGATGGCTAGTCACGACTTGAGCTCCAATCATGCATCAGAAATGGCCCTCAGCTTCCCGTGATGCTTTCTGGAAGCCAGCGTCAAATGTAGTAAGATTGAGGTCAAAAGCGGGTTGATGAGTGTGAAGGTCAACACCCACCCGGCTCCTTCCACACCGGCACTCCCAACACTTGCAGCTCATCACTACTACTACAGAGCGCAGCGTCTGACTCTTGACTGCACTCGCGGCTCACACCAGTACGATTGAGTCCAGAGCGCTTGTTACTTTTTGAAGAGAAAGCTCGCGGCGCAGACAGAGTCGGCTGCCTCGATTTGGACAGCAAGCACCTCACCACGGCCACCACGCCATGCAAAAGCAGATGACCTCATCAGATTCGGTCCGTGATCAATACACTCCTCGCGTGATCAAGCGGTCGCTGCAATTTCGTGCAGGTACACGCCGAGCAGCTTCGTGCCCTCGACGTAGTTGGACAAATCTAGGTGCGAGAAGAACCGGAACGTTGCATCAGCAAAGCGCCTGCGATAGTCGACCTTGCTCGAGATGACAACAACTCACCGAGCTTCTCGTTGGTCGAGTGAGCACCGTCGTCTGCTCTGCCCAGGGGCAACAAGAGCAAGTTCTTGCCGAGCACTTCCGAGAAGCTCAGTGCAACGGGAATGGAGCCACCTTCACGCGTAAGATCCGGCTTGACGCCATACACCTTCTCGGTGGCCTTGATTGCAGCGGCGTAGTTCCAGTGCTGCAAGATGGGCAGAGCACGTCAGCCGCCAGGAAGTCGTGGCTTCCAAGTCAGGTTTCGTGACTCACGTTCGGATCCGCGAGCCAAGGCTTGCCTGCGTTTGCGAGTTCAATGTTCATAGTGTTCTTGGATCCGACTATTCCAGACGACCTGTTAGCATAATGACCCCATCTCTCCTCTTGGCTGCGCTGATGTGTGCGACTCACGCTTCTTGAACTCAGACTGAACATGCTTGATGACTAGCTCCGCAACCTTATCAGGAGTCATGCTGGGCACCAACCTGACACTGAACTTGCCAATAACCTTCGCCGGAATGACGGTCTTCGTACCAGCCTCATAAAACGCGCCCTGCGAGTAGCATGGGTTTAGGAGCTGAGTTGCATGTCCACGAACATCCTGCTGTCCAGGGCGTACCGCTCACCTCCACTCCGTGCAACGACAAGCTGGGGTACCTCATCCTCGCCATAAGAATGCCTTCCTTCTCGTCACTAATTGTAGTCGCACTGCCAGTAGCTTCGTTCATGTCCTTGACGCCGAACTCCATGACCTCATATCGCTTGCGCTCCTCGTCCGTCAAGGGGTCAACCAGCTCTTTGATGCCAGGGACCAAGATCTCTCCCGTGGGTGTCACCAGAGATGACATGATGTGGAAGAGATCGGTCATAGGCTCATGCACAATTCCTCCAAAAATACCAGAGTGAAGGTCTGATCCAGGACCGCTGATTGACAGCTTGAAGTAGCTGATGCCTCGCAGGCCGTGAGTGAGGCAAGGCTTCTTCCTGGAATATGGTCAAGAGCCGGCAAGCGGTTGGATGTGAGCCGATGCGCACAAAGACCGTGCATGGGATGACAGAACTCACGTGCCTAGCCAGTAGCTGTGAGGAGGTAGTAGGGGAGAAGTTGAGGGGCTTGGTTGAGCAGCGGAGAAAAGGTGAGATGTTAAAACAAGCAGAACTCACTTGTCGCTGATACACGCAGCATCCACACCTGCAAAGAACTTGTCCTTCTCGGCGACGATCAGGTCGTCCAAGCCTTCTGATCCGGACTCTTCCATACCCTCGAGGCAGAACTTGAGGTTGACTGGCAGCTCGATGCTGTGCGAGGGCGCGGCTCCTGAATTGATCAGCAAAGCAGCCTGTAGGTGGGCCTCCAAGCCTCCCATCCCACTCACCCTGCCTGCTTGTGCGCCTCGATGACGTTGATCCAGCCCAGGACAGGGCCTTTGTCATCAGTGCTGCCTCGGCCGTACAGACGGTCAGTCTTTTCATCGTGAACCAGTTCGAACGGCTCGGTGTTCCAGCCGTCTGACTTGAGCGCAGGTTGCACATCGAAATGCTGCGCGGAAGCACCATCGATTCGTAGTCAGCTTGGGAGAGACTTGGGCATATGAAAGATAGACACGCGACACTCACTCCGTACACCAAAATAGTCTTCTTCTTTGGGTCAGCGCCGTAGTCTGCAAAGATGACGGGTGGCAGATCGATCTCCTTGCCGTCGAGCTTTTGCTTGCCGAGAGGCTTCAGCTCCGTCTTGGCGCCCAAAGCTTCGAGCTCCTTGACCAGCCAATCTGCCATTCGGAACACGTCTTGGCGGTAGCGAGCATCGCCAGAGACGGATGGGATGGCGACGGCATCTGCCAAGCGCTTGATCAAGCCCGCCTTGTTGGCATCGATCTGCTGGATGAATTTATCGGTGACTGACATGTTGAAGGTGCTGAGTATTGACGATAACTACTGTCGATGCTGGAGATGAAGATCAGTCAGTGTGGCAGGAGTTGGTGGAGGGATGTGTGAAGCGGGGCCATGCCCCGGGCGCGGCTCCTCTCCTCTTGATTCTTGTATCTCGTGATGAATGCAAATCTTTTCGTTGAGCGCAAACGAACTGGACCAATCGTGAACCTCTTCACAGTTTGAGCGCACATCACCTCCGTTCCTGCGCTCCGTGCATGCAGGCAGCCACGGCCAGCCAGCAGCAGCCTGAATTAAGTGGTTTGTGCGCCTTTTGCGCCACCTACCGCCTACGCCCGCCGACCTTCTCGCCAGCATTCGTGATTCGTGAATCTTGATTCGCAGCGCTAACTCCAGCCTCGAGCAACTTCGATGGACTAAGCCGTGCGTGCCGGAAATGAATATGGTTCCAGCCCCGGTGCCTCTCTCGATCACATCTGCACGATAACGCACGGCTTT